CAGCATTAAATGGAAATGCATTGTAGCCCTTGCTGAAATATACGCTTACCTAAATGATTGGAAAAAGAGAAGATCTATTTCCTCCCGAAAGAAATGCACATATCTGGTTCCGACAATACAGAAAACGTTTCAATAGGGATTTTTGATTGTTGCAGACAGGATTTTTAGAAATAAGAAAAGAAGGGAAAATCAGCTCATGATACTATCAATAAATTGTTTTACGTCCTATATTTAAACAGAAAGTTCCATTTCTTTACCCAAAGAATTTTCAAACAGTAAAAATGTACTAAGCCATATCCACCAATCACACTTTCAAAGACAATTGCATTTCTTGAAAAAGTGGAGATTACTGTGACTACTGCATGTATACCTTTTCAATATATTCTTGCAAAGTCCTCTAAAATTTCACCTATGGACTACTTCTAATTTAAGGTAAAAAAACACACCGAACAAATATTAATTTATAAATCAGACAACAAAAATCAGCTTTATATTTGCAAATTTTCACAGGACTGGTTTCGAAAGATTTACCGAACCATCAATTCAGCTGCCAAAGCGCAAATGAACGAAACAAGATATAGTAATAAGATAAGATAACAATGGCTGGACAGGAGTTAAGCTACTGGCGCCATCTATTGATGAAGCAAGAAAACTAAAACATAATTTCCTTAAAGGCTGAAGGTAAAGATGGATTGGAATTGGTTAACTACTAGAATACAACGAATTTTTTAATGTGAAACGCCTCTAGAAAATATAACTCACCAATGGAAGATGGTTTTTTTTAATAATTTTGGTTGTCTGCTGAAAAATGGAAAATGTGATTTTTGGACCAAAAATGTTGGGCACCAAAGGATTTCTGTATTTCCTTTTTCCTTAACATATGCCTTATGCTCTTTAACGCGAAATTTTAAGGCTGTCTTAGTCTGACCCGTGTAAATTAAACCACACTGCCTAGGAATCCTGTAAATACCCCAGGCATTCATATCCGGAATGGGGTCCTTAAGTATTTAACTCGGAATTTTATTTATAGAATAAACGAAACGAAAGTTAAATTTCTGTAAAATACGTGCAATGTTATAGCTAATTGATGGAAAGAAATGAATGATAACGGAATTCTTATAATCTCCTAAAACAAGAGTGTGCCTTTTGGCGTGTTAAGATGAAAATTTTTTGATTGGTTGCTTAATAATAGTGGGTGAATAGCGCCTGTCAATAGCTACTGTTTTTAAATAATTTATTCCATGATCAAGAACTAGTTTGGAGGAGCAAACCTGAAGTGCACGGAAAAGAAAGGAATAAAATGAAGCTAACTTTTGTTTAGTTGGATGACATGATTTGAAATGTGGTGGAAGGCAAACCGATGGAGGCTTACAGTAAACCGTAGTTAGATGTTGTAATTGTGATCAAAATGTCGAGGAACGGAAGAGAATTGCATGTCTCAAGTTCAAAACTGAACTGAATAGCAGGATCAATATAATTCATTATTGATAAAGCTTTATTTAAAATTAAACACCCTTGCATTTAAATTCGAAAAACTTCTTTTACAGTCTTTCAATTTAAGTAGTTCAAAAAATCTTCCCATTGTAAAATTTAAGCCAATAGTTAATATTTATAGCGTTAGTTTGTGATGTTGAGAGGCCCCAACTTGTCAGCAATAGTAGTAGTGACTGCTATGAACTGGAAATTACACAGACTCTTAAAAAGGTTTTAACTCCCTTTTTATTTCACTTTAGAAGTCACAGTTGCGTTCACTCGACGCTCACAAACTACGCGGACCCGGCGGTTAAACCAAAATAGAAAAGTGCAACTAAAAATGAATGACAGGATGAATAACTAACTAAGTTACTATCTACGAGGCTCTATAATTGTAACTATCTTAACCGCGTTCTAAGATACAGCTGAGATTCAGCAAACTTTCTGATTAAGAAGTTGAAAGATTCAACTAACTGCCGAAGTAGGCACACAGACCGAAACGCGCGGTTCTTAAATTTCTACCTAGCAATCTTCACGCTCGTGATTCAAGAAGCACACTTACAAATCTCGTTTCCCTTCTATTTAACTCAAATTACTTCTGCTAAAATTTGAATACTCTGCGCGTTCTACTACGATTTACATACTCTGGCATTGGCAATTCTAGGGAAAGTAAAGGCTTGACAGGAAAGATAGCTTAAACTTAAAATAAATGTTAGTTAAAATAAATATAAACCCTACAAGTTTATCAGAAGAACAAGAGAGAGTTCTGAAAATAATTTTAACTTCTCACTTCTCACAAACCTCAAAACCCTCGATTCCAAAGATTTGGCTCCTATCGTAAAAGCTTTCAAATTCAGTAAAGTTTCAGATACACAGAAAGAAATTATTAGGCATCTTATCGCCCATAATATGAAATTCAAAAATAAGCCTTTGAAACCCATCTAAACGCGAGATAAAGAGTTACAATGCGCGAAATTCATTCTAACCCGGACTTTATCATTTCAAAGGCCGAAAAATTTGGCCAGACAGTCGTCATGGACAAGAGCACTTACATCGATGGTGTCACTAAACTCTTAAACGAAGGACCATATAATCCGATCCCTAAACACTCTTCACCTTTGCACCTCTCGAAAATTCACTTTTGAATGTGAGACATGCAATTCTCTTCCGTTCCTCGACATTTTGGTCAAACGTAACACATCCAACTTCAATACTACGGTTTACTGTAAACTTTCATCGGTTTGCCTTCCACCAGAATTCAAATCATGTCATCCAACTAAACAAAAGTTAGCTTCACTTTATTCATTTGTTTTCCGTGCACTTCAAGTATAAACTTAAAAAAAAAACTAAACTCAGTGCATAACAGCCCTAGTGGGCCAATGCCTGCAGTGCCCCGAAATGCTTTCTTGACCGTGGGCCCCGGGGTGCTTAAGCATATGGCCTGAACAAGTGGTCAGCTTGTCGCAGGACCCCCAGTGTTTAGACACAAGCGAACTTGGTACTCATTTTATCGACCCAAAGGATGGAAATCAAAGGATGAAAGGCTGAGTCGACCTTGCCCAGACCGGGGATCGAACCCCGGGACCTGCAGTGCTCCTGGGCGATGAGCTAGCCACTGCGCTTCACACTTCAAGTTTGCTCCTCCAAATTGGCTCTTGATCAAGAACTAAATTATTTAAAAGCAGTAGCTATTGATAGGGGCTTTTCACCCGACATTATTAACCAAGCAGTTAAAAAATTCGTATCTCAACGCGCCAAAAGCCAACTCTTGTTTTTAGGAGGTTATAAGAATTTTGTTGTTGTCATACCTTTCTTTCCATCAATTAGCTATAAAACTGTACGTATTTTACAGAAATTTAACTTTCCGGTCGTTTATTCTCCTATCAATAAAATTCCAAATTCCATACTTAAGGACACCATTCCGGATATGAATGCCTGGGGTATTTAAAGGATTCCTTGCCAGTAAGGTATAATTTACATTGGTCAAACTAAGAAGGCCTTAAAATTTCGCGTTAAGGAACGTAAGGCACATGTTAATGAAAAAGGAAATACAGAAATCCTTTGTTGCCCAGCATTTTTGGTCCAAAAATCACATTTTCCATTTTTCAGCAGAAAACCAAAATTATTAAAAAAAACTATCTTCCATTGGTGAGTTATATTTTCTAGAGGCGTTTCACATTAAAAAATTCGTTGTATTCTAGTAGTTAACGACCTCAATTCCAATCCATCTTTACCTTCAGCCTTTAAGGAAATTATGTTTTAGTTTTCTTGCTTCATCAATAGATGGCGCCAGTAGCTTAACTCCTGTCCAGCCATTGTTATCTTATCTTATTACTATATCTTATCTCGATCATTTGCGCTTTAGCAGCTGAGGTTGATGGTTCGGTAAATCTTTCGAAACCAGTCCTGTGAAAATTTGCAAATGTGGCGCTGATTTTTGTTGTTTGATTTCCAAACTAATACATCTAATCTGCTAAAAAGAGGTCTTTCTAAGATCCAACCTACCGCGATTAATGGACTCTAGAACGTAGTTAAAGACTGTAATTAAGTAATTAAAGGAAAGCAATATCCATTGAAATTTTAAGAAAAATTCCTCTATCGTACAGAACGTGGTACAGCCCAGGAGAATAAAAAGCTATGGGAACACTTGAATAACAAGTACTTACAACTTATATATTAATTAAATGGGCCCGAAATCATTCTAAAAATGCTTCAAAACGGTATAGAACACTTAATTTCAGTGTATGAAGTTAGAACCAGAAGAATAAAACTGAAACTCACTTAAGAAAGATTTGTAAATGAAAGCATTCACCAATGGTCGAATGTATAAGACTTCTGTGCTCTTATTTTCAGATCGCATTTCAGATACTGATGTTTTAGTGATTTTCTCCATGTGTAAAACAAATATGAGCCAGTTTCCGTTAAAACGATGATCGTGTGTTTTGTCATATTCAGTTAAGGATGCAAACTAAATATAATCCTTCTCTAACAATTAGGCTAAAATGCTCTTGCATATGAAGTGAAAATCGATGATTTGATCAAATTATTCATTAATCCAATGAAAGATTTCTCTTTATATAAATTATGGCCTTGAAATGCATTGAATATATAAAATTGCAGAACGACAGTATGGCTTTACAAATATAGCGCAATTTTTTTCCAACACTGAATTTATATATTTTTCCTAATTTGACAATGTTAAAGCATAACCCTTTTTTAAAAAATTCGGCATTATTTCAATAAGTTAGATAAAATTAGAACTGTTCCTCCACTAGATTTGGTATCCTAGGTCTTATCTGGGAATCTAATTCAGAAACTTAGTATATACTTATTAAAATCAGGAACTAGTGTATACTTATTCTTTCCAGCAATAGCCATCTCTGGATAGTATTATTATGTTTACCGACTGCACCTAAAACCCGAAGCCAGCTATCAGCGCAGGATGGTTTCTGGTCATACTTGGGGGTCATATATTTTTAGCATGCGCAGGATTGTTTCTTGTTATCTTGAGGCTCATATATTTTTAACATTGATAAATTGCTTTTATATTTATGCCAGTCAATATTCTTGTTCTGAACAAGTGATACAAGTTTAGAAAATGCCTCTGCCCCTCCAAGGTTTTAGTTGAATGTCGTTGCAAAGACCTTGATAACTGCTGCTGATTGAACACAGGATTTCGTGACCCAAAGTTAGATTTTTATGGCAGCTGAACTCCAACGCTAGATAACACCAGATAATTCCTTCTTTGCCATGATAATCGTGTAAAATTTAGTAATTAGAAGACTCATATAAATTTTCTCAGGCACACCGATTACTTTATCAGAGTTGCTTTTGGGCAACTAAAACAGCACATCAATAAGAAGATGATAGTTTACTTTTCTTTGTATTCATTATTGCCAATAATATCAACATTGAGACAATATTCGGAGAAATTTATTCGTCAAAATCGAAAGTAAGTATTTAAAACTATTACCATAATCACAGAAGAAAGATATTGCTTTCAGTTTTAAACAATGAAGCAGAGGAAATTCTAATATGCAGTATAGAGTGAACTGCAAAAAGTTCTAGAAACGCCCCGCTTTTTCTATACTTTTAAATGTGAAAACTAATCACCATTTCAGCATATTATTTGGTATGGCATTGGACATCTTCAAGAGAAAGATCTTGAATAGGTTTGTTTCCTTTGTCCGAACATTCAAAATCAAGTAGAGGTAATTTGTATAGCGTAGGAAGTCTAATAATCCATTCTACTCGGTCACATGTGCAATGAAACCGGTTACCTGGAAAGAAACATATTTTAAATTATTTCAATTTAATTAATCAAATTTTAATAATTTTCATTAACTAGAGTAACTAGTATCATATATTTTTCTATTTTCGTAAATATGAAAATTCTGCAAATGATTTCATTAAATTAAATTTCCACATCTATATCATTATATTAATGCAATCAGTCTTATTACTCATCTTAAAGACCTTTGCTTCAGCACAAAGTTAGGGTGTGAAACAACCTGCTTCGTATAGTCAAGCCGTTGTCAATCTACTGAGCTGCCGAAACAGGCATCCCACTTCGATAATTTCTAGTTAAAGATGTGATGATCCAATCTTGGCAGACTAACCTGAGCAATGTTACAACTTTAATTGCGTAATATGGCCTTTCACGTAGGAGCAGTGAGCATATCTCAGTCTTTTTTCCTGTATCACGTAGGACGTACTCCAGATGCAAAAGCTTGGAGATAGCCCTACCCCACCGAGGACTCTAATTTATTCAAGCTTCGTTATATATATATAAAACGATGCTTATATATTGTAAGAAAAATATGTAAAAAATTAAATTAGTAGCGTGAATTAATTTCCCTTAAATCCTAAAAATCATAACCTCTATTTGCATTGCGTCATTTCTAGATTAATCCATGTCATATGACTCTTACATAATTCTGGTGATGTAAATGGAACTAAAACTCTATCAGCCAATAGTATATTATATATATATACCATATATATTATATTATAACATAAAACCAATATATTTTATAGCAATTTTAACTATCTAATCAAAATGCATTGAAAAATAAAATAGGCCTTTCTGATTTTCACTGGCTACGTAATATTAATGAGTGTACCCAGGATAAGAAAAGGTGATGACCATTATATAGTAGAAAAGGGTTCCACCTTGTGTAGAGTATAGCAGAATTCCTAGCGTATGAACAAAATCACATTGCAAGCGGCCAACTGCATTTAATTTAGCTTTCTCTATGTCAAATTACAGTTACTGGTACATAGTTTATCAACCAAAATTAGAATGTGATCTCTGTCAAATGACAACTCTTCTTCATTTTACATTCTTCCAACTGATATCCATGTGGCACTTGATTTCTCGTAGTAGCATCTTACCAAGCATATTTGTGATAGCAGCTCTGTTGCGGCCTCTTAATTCCACTACTATAGCACAACGTTTTCGGAAGACTTATGATGATGCCTTAGATAATGTTATAATGTCAGCTTAGATAATGATGCCGGGCGGACAAACTATTTCAATATGACAATAAATTTATCTCTGCAGTTACCTTCCTGTGTCTGTACGATCGCCCTGTCTCGTTGAAGCCGTAAATGGTCTATATTTGCAAACATTTTTCGTAGCTCAAAAAGAAAGAAGTTTTGTAGTATTGTTACTTTTACTTCAGTTCCTTAGTGGTAGATAGTCATGCTCTCACCATCGGTGCAGAGGACCGTAATTTGACAGGCATCATATTAACCCATTGACTAATAAATAAGATTTCTATACTTACTATTTGGCCCAGAGAAAAAGAAGTAAAAATCATTTGCTTGCTTGTAATATGATTTTATACTCTGTGAATTCTACCACATCTTTTATATGCCAGTACTGTCAGAATCATTCATGCTATCACTTCCTTCAGACTCTGCTATGATCGTTACTCCATTTCCCGTTTTTGTAGATAGAATAGATTTAGTGGAATCGATCTGCATTGGTCGTAGTCTCAAAGTTCTGTCAGATCAATTCTAGGTCATTTAAAGATAATAAATAACAACCATTGAATGTTATAGAAATTCATACATTTGAGGCAAAATATATTAACTCTCCAGCCGGTTAAGAGTTTGGCTTTAAAACCACAACTTTCTCAAAAACTAACCCAAGAAAGATGTACATACTTACTTATAATATCAAAATTCTCCTGATATTTTGTATGACTCTTTTTTTTATAATTTATGCTAATTTAGACACATTTCCAGATTCACGTACATGCTCTCAATTAAAAAAGTTATGAAAAATATTCTTAGACGTATTCTTGGCCTGACCGCTTGGAATTATTTTAATGCACTTTCTAGACCTGATCAATAAAGTACTCAACTTCTGCATTGTCCTCGGATCATCTGTTACAGCCTAAACTATTCTGTTTCGCCTATAAAGAAATGACAAATATTTTGATTGTTCTCTCTAGTTTGAAGAGCAATGAGCTCATTTTGTAATAAAAAAATAGTGTGGTATTATGAAACGTTTAGAGGGATGTTTATTCAGTGCAGTAGTCATAGAAAATTTAGAGAGAGTTTTCCTCGTAAACTCTCTTTCAAAAATTTCATGATTTGGAGAGAACTTACGCAGTAGTATGTATCAAACTGTCAGTGAAACGCCTTAGAAGAAGAAGTATTACTCAATGTTATAAGACACTGATACTGATGCACAACTGATATACGAGGCTAATTTATAATCTTTCCGAAAGCTTGTTACTGTAGTTCCTTCTTTTCATTCCATGGCTGCATTTATGTGGTTTTTAAGTATATACCTGTATTAAATTCTTTAGTTTGATACTTCACATTTCCCACCTTAATATTCCATATTATGTGACAGCTAATTTAAAATTGTCATGTAAACATATATTTGGAACTTGACGTTTTTATTTTTGTAAATTAATATTTATAATTTATTGTGCTTTTATTGCACAGGGAGAAATATATTTATAGTTGACCTTTGAATAACTCCATATTTGGGATTTCTCAGCATTTATCAACAGTATGCGTGAAAATCCCCATATAACATTTGATTTCTGAATTAATTATATATTACTGTTGAGCCTAACTAATAGCATCAGCAAAAGATTAACACATATATTACGTGTCATGTGCATGATTGTTATAAAATGATAACACCAGCTGTTCGGTGGTTCTTTAGGCATTCTATCTTCCAAATAGTTTGGATTTCTGCTTACATAAGAAGACCAGTAATGAAGGTTTAGTCCTAATATTTCGAAAACGCATGCTTAAGAATTTTTTTTATAAAATATTGCATTAATGTACATAAATTGAGTATGTGTATTAACACCAGATTCATCAATTATGTCAACATCGTTTATCTCTGTACTAACACTTCGTACAGAAACGAAATGAAACTGTATCGCAGTTACAATAAATATATTAAATTCTTGAAGTTTTTTTCCAATAGCTTAACGTATAACACTTTAAGGTGGTGAAGGATATAATCTGATACATGAAAAAAAGGAGTACATGAAAGATGTGCTCAAAGTATCTGCACATTTTTCATGCATTCATGCCTTGCGTGTTTTTTTTTTAACTTTCTAATATTTTTAGTCTCTACGGTTTGCTTACAACGGTCTCAAACTAACTTAAAAAAAGAATTCCAGTATATTTAAGTATCACGGTAAAACTGAGCGCCTTTCAAACCTCAGTTATTCATGGGCAAACTGTTTTTTAAAATGGTAAAATTTTGTTAAGAAAGATACTTACGATTAACATATATAACTCCAGTTCTTCTTTCTGCCATTCTTTTTAAAACTTCTTTAAAAGCTTGCTCTGATAACTTAGTGAGGTTATTATCGGTGAGATTCAAGCATTTAAAAACTTGACCAGCAAAAGCACCATCAGACACAAACATTATTTTGTTATTTGCGAGATTTAATGTCAATTTAGGATTTTCTTGAATAGTGGAAAATGCGAAGTTATTAATTACTGTCAGTTTATTATACCGCAGATCGATTTTCTCTAATTTCGTCAGATATTTGAAAGCATTTGATCCAATGTGATTTATTTTGTTAAAAGATAAATCAATTTTCTTAATTTTATTATTTACAATATTTCCAAAAGCTTCGTCTGGAATGCTTTTGATGGAATTATATTTTAAGTTAACATACTCCAATTTCGGAAATGATGATAATTCTTTAAAAGGAAATTTCTCAATATCATTATGAATTATTTCTATCCTCTTCAATGAATTTCTTGAAGAATCAAAAAATTCGGAAGTAATTGTAGTGATTGTGTTTTTCCTTAGGAAGATATACTCAAACTGAATATAACCTAAAATGTTGGATTCTATGCTCGAAATCCTAGAGTTCGTCAAACTAAATTTACCAAAACTTCTAAAATATGGAATGGAGTGTGCAGCTCGTGAAATACTTTGTACTTCTGTTATTCTGTCGCAATGAAATATAAGAAAACTTTGAGGTCCATCACAAGTGCAAGGTAAGATTTCCAGTGACGGTGGACACAAAGGCAATTCTTCTGCATAATAGGCATCCAGCATTGAAGAATTATTCGTCGGCCCTATTATTAGCACATCTTCAGAATTTACTTTAAGAACCAAAAGAACGGAGGCAACAATCAATCCTGAGGTTAATATCATCTGAAATTGGCATAATAATAATCTTAAGAATTACAAAAGTAAAGAAAAAACATTATTTCATCTAATACAGATAATAAAAACACAATCAAAATCTTTCCGAATGCAACAAAAATTAGGGAAATTTAAAATTTCATTAGAAAAATTATGCTTTTTTGAAATATTTGTTAAATCCATGTTATAGCTCTCTAAATCAGTGTCAGTAACAGCTTCATCTTATATTTTCAAAATAAGAATGAAAAAAATCCATTTCTGTGAAAGATTCTTCTCATTTAAAAAAAAAATTAATTCAGATCACAGCCTAAAAGAAAGTTATTAGTCTAAAGGGTCTTTGTCCCTGTATTGTTTTCGTTTCGAAATTTTGCGTCGAATCACTATAAACGACGTATCACTTTTCAAATTGTTGCCACCAAATGTTAGAGTCCTGCATTATATTTGAAGAAATTAAATAATGAAGAATCTGCATAAATGTATGTATGTTTCTCTCATTGTGATAAAACAACGGTACATAGAGCTATCCAATTTTGAATGACGTAATTATACTGCTAATATGAGCATCTGAAAAGCCAAATTTGAAATTTGGAATCTGTTTTATTATAGATTTTAATATTTTGTAAAACTTTAACGAATTTTTATTAGCAAACTCAACGATTTAAAAGCGAGCAATGGCAACACCCTACGGGGGGGGGACCTTTTTATCTCCAGCGCGCGGAACTGTGTATCGGAAATTCTAAAGATATGTTCATTTTAAAATTATTTTGCGACATTGCTGTTGAATTGAATTTTATGGTTTAAGTGCAAAAAACATGATATTTAATAAATAAAGGTAACACACAAAACGTTAAAAAACGCCCCTTTGGACGTAATTTAAAATCGGAAACCTTTCATATTTTTTTATTTTATATATCAAATTACCAAGCTTTAAATCTTTCTGTCTGCCAAAAACAGAGGTGCCAGATCTCTCGATTCAAGCGGAGGACTCGCAGTTTCGAGCCGCACTCTTCTCAATCCAATTTACTACACATTTCTTTACATTTTGTAATCCCTAAAATTTCTCGACTTTTATGTGGCTTGGCTTAATTTCTCATTACTTGTACATGAAAGCATATTTTTTGGCGTCTGAAATAATTTTCTCTTTTGCATTACCCGTGTACGCTACTCTGTGAATGTGAGAACAGATATATTTGGAATCATCATATTTCATTTCTCAAGCGGCGCTTCTCTTGATTAGGCATATATTAGCCAATGAAAATAAGGCTGTTCTTTCATCGCTAAGAAGTCCACTAGTGGTCACGTGGATAAGACCGCTAAGCACTTGTAGTTCGAGTCCAGTTTGAAGTCATGCAAATGGACTGGTTGAAAGAGATTTTTGTAGCGTTCTCTTTGCATAACTTTCCTTGCTTTACTTCATCAAGAACATTTAGCATACTTGCAGTGTGTACCATTTCGCTTTGAGATTTTTCGATTTCTTACTAAGAAAAAGCTAATATCCTTAAACACATGCATATAGAAAAGCAGTTAAACTCTTCTTACTGCTAAAAATAAATCTACGTGATAACTGCTATGAATAAAATTACGTTTTATGTTTCTTAAAGAAAGCAAAATCTACCAATGTTATTTGCAATTTCCTTAAAGCCGACTAAAGTACACAGCTGCTCAAAACAGTTAGGGGATATTATGATATTGGATATAAACTGCGGATGTGGAAATTTTTTGGTGATTGATATGTGATGTGTAGGTGTTGTAAGATATGAAAAAACCAACGAACGAGGAATAATTAAATTTGACTATATCTGTAGGTAAACAAAAAATGCACAATCTGTGCATACTATACAAACAAACAAAAAAACGTGATTTATGGAATAGAAATGAGTTTCAATATGGGGTGTGGTTTCCTCTAATCGGAAGCAATGTTGCACACTTACGTGCACTTATGCAAACATTCAACGGGAGTCAGTTGTTTTTAATCTTCTCCTACAGAAAGAATGCTGCAGATCGCTTTTCACTCCTAATCTAAAACGCCTACCTTTTGACGTCACAGGCAAAATTTGCATATTCTCAACTCTTTAAACGTTATAATTTTTATTTCTAGCCTCTTCTACTTAAAAAAGTTGTCGATTATATGGTTATTTCACATCGAACTCTCAATATCCCATAATTGTTTTGAGCAATGTATTGTTTTTCTATTTGAAGGTACAAATAATACGTCTTTTTTATATGTAAGTATTTTTTATTATGTGCATTTAAGAATTACTGAATTTCCACATATTAATTAGATACTATTTGAAATTAGTCCTCTACTTTAAAAAAATTATTTCCTTCTGCACAATTTTGTCATTTAAAAATTAGTTTAGTCACTGAAAAAATTCTGCTCATTTCTTAAAAATATCGGTCGATTTCTGGGTTTGGTCGGTTGGCACCTCTGCTTAAGATATAAACGTTAGCTGTGTGTTGTTTAGTCAAAGTTGATTTTATTTCATTAGTTAAACTTAACAGTTAAAATCTCGTTTATCATATCAATAATTTTTTTTCCTTTTATTAGAAAAAACACGCTATATAGTTTTGAAATGCTGAGAACAATATCAATCCTCTGCTGGTTCTTCCGAATCAGATCTGTGCATTTTCAATAGTTCAGGGAATAGACCTACAAGCAATATACAGTTGTTCACAGGATGGATCTGTTCCCTAGCAGATGTTTTCACTTTTGCAAGTTTAGCGGGTGTTTTCACGTTTGCAAGTTTAGCAGATGTTTTCCCTTTTCCGAGTTTAGCCAATTATCTTGACTCTGGAATAGTTCGATAACACTACCCAATGGCAAGTTCAACCTAAATAAGCAAATAAAATACGCAGCAGGAAATCCACCTAGCAGACAGTCTCAGTTTCTTCTTATTAAGATTTAGCAATGGAAGTACTAATTGGCGTAAGTTGGTTCCTAAAAACCATTTTTTCTTCACACTTTTCAATATCTGCATATTCTGAATCATATTCTCCATCTCCTTTAATTTTGCTTAAAATCTCATCATCTAGTTCTTTAAGCTGTGCAAACTGACCCTTCAATACAGCCCATTTCGTTACTGCAACTTCAACATCAGGCACCTTTTGCGGATTTCTTCAGTTAAAAGATTAAAATTTCGGCTAAATGATGTCCTAAATAAGCCTAGATTTTCTTACTAATTAATTCCTTTTTTTACAATTATTTAATTATTTTCAACTTAAATTACAAGAAGGGCTATTCTAGTTATCTGACTCCAAAAGATCACGTCCGTGTCACCACAATGTCGCAGCGAGCTTCAAGAAATTGACAACAGAGAATTTCTGACTCCCAAGTTTTTTGCAATCGACAATTTAATAACTTGTTCAACATAATATCTATACTCCAAAGGCGATTTTATTTAACCTCAGCTTTTATAACGTCGTATACATACAAAAATACTTTTCTAAACTTCAGCTTTTAGAATCAAAACATTTTTCTGTATTACTAATCCAAGAATGCTAAAGCCTAAATTTAAATTATTGATACAGAAAAATTAACAGAATAATACAGGAATGATACAGAATGGTCCTTCATTTACAAGCTTTTAACTGACTGCTTCGTGATGTTTCCTTTAATATACTTTCAGTTATCCATGTAGGAAATTTGGGAGCTACACGACCGATTATCCGAACTCCTATTACGCAAACTGTCCAATTATCCGAATACTCCAATTTCAAGATTAAACAGGAAGTCAGAAAGACTTAATCAAGTTCTGTCTTAGGAATTTCAAATTAAGCCATGGTATATATCAGAAGTAAATTAAAGATCTCTGCGTTGAAGAAATACATCAATCTAATTTTAACAGAAAAAAAAATGAAAATGGAAATGAGCAGTGTGATAATGAATATCACGCATGCAAAAGAGATGATGTAAAGACCACTGGAAAAAATCTAAATTATGATGATAATAATGACTGGCTGAAGCCTATTTAAATTGTGTTCTAGATTAACAAAACAATTGAGGATAATGAAAAAGATTATTACGATAATGACTTAAGCACGTCAAATACCGCACCTGATTAAATTTTAGAAACAGTAATCATTACAGCATATAAAAAAATACTTTCTTTGACATCCAAAAAGCAATGAAAATCTAAGCATTGAAATGTTAAAATAATTATCAAATTCCCTATAAAACTAAATATTTATCACATTCTCATTGAAAAGTGTATCTTTAAGTTCAGATAAAATTTAGTTTATGTTTATTGTTGAAGGTACGTGTATATAAGAAAAAAAATACCTATATGGTCCCGATAATCGCAAATATTTTTAATAATAAATGTTGAAAATAAAATAATTTTTAACGTTAATTAATAACAAGTTTAATGATAATGTTAAAATGTTAATTTATTTAAATAAAAAAAATCAGTACTTTAAACACTAATATTTAGGCTATTAGATAGCATAGAAATACAATTTGTTTTCAATTACAATATTTATATAAGAAAAGAAAAAATCTCTGAACTATCGAATGAAGATTTTATCACTAATTTAAGTAAAATGCGCTTACAAAGCTAAGTATGTATATCCCTAACTCTACTTTCACACAATAATTAAGTTTCAGATAAAATCTTTCAAAAGAAAACTGAGTAAAAAATGTAGAGTACATATAAAAAATAGAAGACTGGTTTCAGTTGTAAAAATCCAGTACAATTCGTTTGATATTTACATATTAATTGACACCAACAACTTCGGCTGGGTTCAAATGGCAGTAATTTTCAATAAATGTCTGACTTTTTCCTGAAACCATATCCTCATCTTTCGCGGTATTCTTTTTAACATGGACTGAATCTTCTTATATTTGATAATTATGCATTTATATTATTCGTGAGTTAATGGTATTCACAGAATAATGAACCAGAAGCTATCAGCTGTTTTCAGAGTTAAAGAATATTGCCGAAAAATCGAGACAGTTTTAATTCTTATCCACTGAAATTAATGTGTTGATTGTAGAAACCTCATTTGACGAA